TCCTCTGATTCCCGGGATGTTGCAGAGGGTCGCGGAGAGATGTTCCATTTATGGTCATGGGAGGGAAGCAATAGACGTCAGCTCTGATGTCAGTGTGACCACTACACGTCGTCTCTACAATGGGACAGGGCCTACATTGGAATCCAAATTACAAGACAAAAAAAATTCTCTCTCTCTCTCACACACACACAGCTAAGCAAACACGTGATTTATGCTGCAATACGTCTTATTGCACGTTACATCCCAATTACGGTACCAGATGATAAGACAGAGAGGGACAGAAAAGCGGGCGAACTACTCCAGATTTCGAGTCTGACGTGCTTTCTGATCACCACATCGAATCCGGGAGTGGACTACACTTCTTACTTCCTAGGCCTATCGTTACTTTCTTCAGTCTCCGAAGCGAAAGTTTAGTTTGTTTCGTAAGTGCTGATATTATTATGAACTTGAAACCTATCATCATATTACGTCTATAACTTTATAAAGTATTGTCTTTCACTTCTGTAATAAATCCATACAGCTTAAAAGTCGAATGGTTATCATTCCTACTACGTGCTCGGAGGATCTCTGGTTTAAATATCTGTTAGGTAACCGTCTATGCTGATAGAGGAATTGCGTGGTTTTCTTTAGACCCTTCAACCGAATTTCTACCTTAAGCCAGTTCATTGATCACGAATCATCCAATTTTTCGACGCCATACGATCTATGTAATTGAAAGTTCCGTCAAATAAACCAAGAATAAATAAAAGTAAAGGATACAGATGTCGCATATACACGATTTACATAATTCCAGTGTTATTTGGCGAGCAATAAATCTGAGGCTAGACACGACCATGGTGAAGCGAAGCAGAGTTCAGGACCACCCACCGGGGCCACCCGGGAGAAATCAACAAGCTCAGATCTCCTCAGCTTCATCCACAAAGTGCGCAAAATTCATATGAATGGCAGTTCAAGTTTTCACTCTTTTATTTGAGCCCGGTTCATTGTGTAGTTTCTAGTAGTGTCGAGCAGTCGCGTAATAACATTAGTAGTGATTTAATTACAAACAACGGCACAAATAGTATTTGATATAATAAACTGTATATAATTTAAAATAGAAATGGAAGTATTAATTAGGTCAAAACTTGTCAGAATGCGTGGAGTTCGGAGGAAAGACCAATATCTCATTAGTCACTGAATTAAAAGAACGATTTATTTGAACTTTCTTTATGACTGATGCAACAGACACAGGTATCACCAAAATAACGGGCTATTTGGACAGACTTTTTTTAACTGTACTCTTTTTACACGCAACACTACGTATTTCTCACGTAACTAGTTTTTAAATGAATGCTAATAATTCGTCTCCTCTCGTCTGCGTTTTCCAGGTCCACTCTAGTGCTAAACCTTTTCCACTTTGCTCTACTCTATAACCTCTTAATTGCTCTCAAATTACTAAAACCACTTCCGGCGCAGACGGTTATAACGACAAAACAGCAGCGAATCTTAAGTCGACATCTCATGTTTAAACAATAAAATATTCGGTATAATTATAATTTAATAGTATTTCCGATTAACGACTACACCAAACGAGCACACAACGTGATAAAAAATAATATTTAGACGTATGTTGCATTTCGGTCTCTTGGATTCCATAGATGCACTGCAGTTCAGAGGTAACACATCCTCATCTGGATAAAGAAATGACTACACCCCATTCATTTCCTGAGATTTTTTTTTGTTTATCATCAGTCTTTCGACTGGTTTGATGTGGTCCTCCATTTTCGCCTATCTTGCGCCAATCTCTTCATTTCCACATCCTCAAGAATCCGCGTCACATATTCCAATCTTTGTCTCCTACAATTCTTCCCTTCCATTACCAAATTAACCAATCCTGGGTGCCTCAGAATGTGTCCCAGCATCCTATCTCTTCCTCTCGTAAGATTTTTCCATAGAATTCTTCCTTCGCCTATCCTGTCTAAGACCTGCTCATTTCGTACTTTATCAGTCCACTTAATTTTCAACATCCTGAGCTAGAGTAGCATATTCGAATACCCAAAATACTGATTTCTGAAATCGGTTTTCAAAGAAGTCAGACCTATTTACAACAGTGCCATCTGATGGGCGTCTACAGACTCATGTGCGATGAAAGTTTGTGAGAAGGGCGGATGGAAGACACACGCCTTTAATTACAATAACCAAATTAGGAGGTGGAGGTCTCTATTTCCATAACAACTAACAAAATATTTGCGTTGAATAATGCACATCTCTGTATCACTGTACCAAAGCAACCAAGGGATATTATTACCACCAAAGTAGAAAAATAAAACAAAACACCATCAATGGGTGTCGAAGTGCTGAGTGTTGTCAGTGGGAGGGAGGTTCAGGGGGAGGGGTAAAATTTCTGTGTGGCGTGCTCCTTTTTTTAAAAAAGGGAAAAAAAGGGAACACGCTGCCAGTGTCTAGTCAGCCAACCAAATGACTGCTTGCTTATACCAGACCCAACCCACATCTCATTCCACAGGAGGTGGTGCTTTGTTCAGAAACTATTTGCTTTATGTTCTTGTACCAACAGCGGAATCCTTTTTTCCTCGTTTTGCGATGGTGCAATGTGAATTCAGATGGCTTTGTGTATGGATGCTTCAGTTCTTCGTGAAACTATACAAGAGCAATACGACGATGGTGCACAACAATGTATAAGTCACTGACGTGTATCCAACAGTCGCTTTGATTGCCGGCTACCCACATATGTTTACATGTCGATTTTAATGTTTATCCTTAAAAGCCATACACTAGCCAGGCTATTTTATGAAGTGGAAATTCTGTTTCACGTACACCA